TTCCTGGAAATTTGTGAATACTGTGACCATCAACGCAAGTTAATTCTTTTTTTCTAAAAACAGTTTAAAAGTCACAAAGAAATTGCAGTAATTAGGGCAAAGGTTGACCCAACAAAGTGTCCGCAAAATTACTGAAAAATGATTACTTTCGTCCTGACAGAAAAATAATTTGAAATAGTTCACATCCTATGGGGTGTCCAATACTTTCATCCAAGGCTGTATACACACACGTGAAACGTGTCGTATGTTCCCTTAGATACAGCGCCCTGAAAAAGGGTAGCAATCGTGGAATTTCATACTCGTGTTCAAGCTTCTCATCTTGCCAGTTACCTCTGCACCGCTTATTTTTTCGCCAGACGAGAACCGGTGGGCTTTTCAATGGGCGCACTGCAGACCTGGCAGGCGGCAGAGTTAAAAGGACATGCTCCAAAAAGCTCACCAGCTTCGTACGTGATACACGTGCCAGGTGGTGTTTGCGTTTTGTCTGGTTAATGCAGGTGAATTTCTCGACGAAACGACGCAGGTTCTCTCGCGTAAAAGACTAAAACTGTTTACTTTTTGTTTTCTGTCTGCGACGAATCTGAGAATCTCCTCACCTCTCCCGCAACGTTGCCGTCTAATTACGAATGCACGACACGTTCTAACACCTTTTCGCCGCTGTTTAATTGCACCGTCCGACGCTCGCTAATTACGCGATTCGTCCAACGTTTAAACACGCGTCGCCCATTTTCCTTGGGAAATTTTTGGGTCACGCCTCTATCGATCCGAAGCAAACGGCACACGCTCGACCTACACTTCCTCCCTTATTTACCCGATCCCCGAAAAGGCAACGCGGCAGATCGCTGGTCGATCTGAGTTTATTGGAGCGCGAACACACCTCTGAATGAGAAACACCGTAGGATTAACCGGGTGTGTTGTATATTAACATACTGCGACACGGTTTCGCTTGATCTATCATTTCCTATGTTCACGGTGATCAATAACGTTACCCTTTTGTAATAGGAGAATCGACTGGGTCAAAAGTGACCCGTTAGAAACATTCGAGAAGTGAAGTTTTCGGTAACTTTAACCTTTCGTGACCAGTAGGACTCATACGTCGCACTGGAGAGCTCGAATAAAAATTTATCTCGATTTAGGATCTATTACAGACGTGGTGATCGATAGATAAATAAGAAATTTAAAAAAGAAAATAAGTTTGTCACTTATCGGTATCGAAAATTTATCCTTTTTGGAGAGTTGGTCCTTTTAGCGTTGAGAATGTTTTTCTATTGGTCCTTCCAGCGTTAAGAATGTTTTTCTATTGGTCCTTCTAGCGTTGAGAATTCTTTTTCTATTGGTCCTTCCAGCGTTAAGAATGTTTTTCTATTGGTCCTTCTAGCGTTGAGAATTCTTTTTCTATTGGTCCTTCCAGCGTTAAGAATGTTTTTCTATTGGTCCTTCTAGCGTTGAGAATTCTTTTTCTATTGGTCCTTCCAGCGTTAAGAATGTTTTTCTATTGGTCCTTCTAGCGTTAAGAATGTTTTTCTATTGGTCCATCTTAAGATTGTTTTTCTATTGGTCCTTCTAGAGTTAAGAATTTTTTTCTGTTGGTCCTAGCGTTAAGAATTTTTTTCTTTAATTTTTCTATCTTGCATTGCTAACTTTCCTCGATAATTTTCCTACGAGTCTTGCACACCTGTTCCTAACTCCTCCAATTTGCAAACAATTAAGTATACAGAGCATAGTAATTAGATAGACGCGGTAAATCCATTAAAAACAGAAATTACACGGCGAAAGGATAGAATTAATTGCGATCACCAGAAAGATTGTTATTTAATAAATGCTAGATCGGCTAGATTTTCGTCTCTAATTAACACGATGATTTCGTCTCGCTACTCGGATCTTCTTTTCGGTGAAAAAAAAAAAGTTTCGACTCACGTAATAAAATCGCTGGTTAACGATCTCGATCCACGGTTGCACGGCGAACCTATGGAGAAAAGACAAAGAAAGCTAGGCTGGGTTTGCACGGTAAAGCCACTTCCTGATCCGTTCCTCCTCTGTGTTGGAACGGCACGCGTGGCATTCTATCCGTGTGCACGCCGGAAATCGAAAACCAGTCCAATCGATACGTTTCTCTTCTTCGCACGAGTGAAATACTGCGGGCTAAGAATCAGCCGCAGTCTACTTGCCAGCCAATCGTTACGTACCCCACCGTAATCCGGCGTGTTCGCCAATGAAACGCGTGTCGTTGGAATTTTCACACTCCCGTGAAATAATTTGCGGATTGTTCGAATTACATGCGGTCGGCTATTGAAACGCTCGTCGGTGGAATTTTCACGATTATCCCACGTAATTCCTTCGCAAGTTTGGTAACGGCGCAATTGGGTGACAAAGATACCACTTGTCGTCGGTTTAACGGAAGACAGAGGCTTAATTTTCAGATCTTTGCGAAAGTGGCACAAAAAGCGAGCATTTTTATGTGAAAACGCGTCGCTAAAATTGAAATTAGAATTTTCCTATTTAAATATTAATATATATTCCCAATATAATCTCCTAAATATTAATCAATATTCCCAATATATCCTTTTCTAATCAATAATCAATGCACGTAAGTAATATTCTATCAGAGACCCTCGAAACCCGATTTTAACGGCGAGAAAACCGAGACCCGCGAAACTTAAAGATCCAAAAATGTTTCGTTGCTAAATGCTCGAGTAATGAACGTTCTACCACGGATAATTCCAAGCCAATTTCCCGCAAAGCGTATTTTCGCCAGTTGTATCACTCTGTATCCACTGAACCAAAGATACAACGATACAACGTTCAAGGATAATTCTAATTAGTTTCCCGCAGCTGAAAATACCCGGGTCGATAGCTGTTAACAAACGGAAGTACGCGTTTACGCTCGTTACTGTTAAGAAATTGCTATTCCATGTATGTTCGGATCGTTGAAAATACGCCGGAACATCCGCAAATTACCTGTAAAATATTCCCGCGCGTATGCAGGCCCCCGATAAACCGTGTGCGGCTATTAACGGGCATACGTGGCGCTAGTAGTCCTCTATGCAAATGATCAGTAGAACAGGAAGCTCCGGGTCGTCGAACCGCAGGATCCGGCGAGCAACGTTTCAACGGAACTTGTTACCGTTTACGTAACGAACATCGATCGACGTGTGGAACGATCGCGTGTCTCGCGAATTCGGCGGAAAGTTTCGTTTTAATTACCCGTCGAAAATGTCGGAGACTTAACAACACCCATTAATCTGGCCTCTTCGCTGACAATTCGCTTAATTGAATAGACCCTAAGTCTCACCGTTGTAAACGTGTGAACGAAATTCAACTTCTTTACCTTTTCTTCTTCCTCTCTTTTTCTCTCTCTCGTAAAATCAATCGACCCTCGGAAATTGTTACACGAGACGACTCTATCGACGAAGATTTAATCGGGCAAGAGGTCTTTTTTTCACGCGATTTATCGTAGATAAAAGCATCATTTCCACGGTTATTCCGATTCCCTAACCGAACGTACTTACGTAGTAATCGTCTCGAATGAAGCAATTATTAGCGGAACGTCTGTTCTGCCATTCAGAACTCATTAACCCTGTATTAACGCCCTGGGCTTTCCTTTAGATACGCCCGTTTAAAGCTCGCCGAAGCTTAATGCCCTCGTGCCGGCTGGCATTTGCACATACATAGATCGACCCACATAGATCAACCTGAGATTACTAGCAGAACCTAGATCGTAGGAAGGATTAAAAGAAAAAATTACTGCTCTGCGCGAGAAACGTTGTATTCGCACGATAATATCGGAGTGCTCTGTATACACCACCGGCCAAAAGTTTCGAATCGCCTACCAATTCACAGGAATATTCAGTCTTTTACTAATTCTTTGTAAATTTGAAATTCATTTCGATTGACTTGAACGGTGAAAAAATTCGGAAAGATTGTCAACATTGCTAACTTCTTTCTGGAAATTTTTGTGTATAGTCAGTGGAAGCGATATAGCGAGGGAATCGCCTGCCAATTTACATAAATATCCAATCTGTAATCTTTATAAATTTGAAATTGATTTGAATTGATTTCGATTGATCCTGAAGGATAAAAAATTCTTAACATTGCTAACTTCTCCCTGGAAATTTTTATGTATAGTCAGTGCAAGCGATATAGCGAGGGAATCGTCTGACAATTTACATACATAAATATTCAATCTGTTACTAATTTATAGATTTAAAATTGATTTCGATTGATTTGAACGGTAAAAAAATTCGGTGAAAAATTGTTAACATTGCTGACTTCTTTCTGGAAATTTTTGTGTATAGTCAGTGGAAGCGATATAGCGAGGGAATCGCCTGCCAATTTACATTATATTCAATCTGCTACTAATTTATAGATTGAAAATTGATTTCGATTAATTTGAACGATAAAAAGTTTTTATCATTGCTAACTTCTTTCTGGAAATTTTAGTGTATAGTCAGTGGAAGCGATATAGCGAGGGAATCGCCTGCCAATTTACATAAATGTTCAATCTGCAATCTTTATAGATTTGAATTGATTTCGATTGATCCTGAAGGATAAAAAATTCTTAACATAGCTAACTTCTTTCTAGAAATTTGTGTGTATAGTCAGTGGACGCGATATAGCGAGGTCGTTAATTAAAGCATTAACGAACCAATTCGAGCTCCTTGTCTCCCCCTAATTGACTAATTTAATGACCCCACCGTATCTCTTCAACCGACTGTAGCTTGCAACGCACAGTGATCCCAACCTTTCGGCCAATAGTGTACATCCTCCAAAAATTTTCATTCAGCTGAATCTCATCTTTTATTCTTAATCTCTATCTACCGTTTCGTAAAATCCTACTTGTCACTATTGATATATTACATACAACATATGATAATTGACTGTATTGTACGAGTGTGTTAGTTTGTATGATATGCAAGATCCTCGTACATTCTCGTACGAAGATTGATAACCGAAAATCGTCAAACAAAAGGTTCATCCTAAAAATCTCCAAGTATTTCCGGTCACGAGTTTCTTCTATCCGTAATGGAGAACTTACGAGGTGGTCGATCGGCGTCGATCAGCACAATATCGTTGTGAAGATAGCTGATGAGAGCTGTAGACACACGGTCAGCTCGTTTCGCGACGAAGTAGTACAAGGGCGCCCAACATTTCGCGCCAATGTACATCGAGCAGATTGTCTCGCGATCGTTTTCGCTGATCTGGCTCGCGTGCTTGATGAACGTGCAGAACTGTGACCCGGTGGCTGGCGTGTGGACGGACCTCAATCGTGCACCCATGTCGCCCAACAGTCGATAGAACTTCCGGCCGCGAAATCGACTGCCCAATATATTGATCGTGTGCAAATTACGGCATCTCTCCAGTATGCGGATCAGATGTCCCGAGCGTAGGTACAATTTCGACGTGGAACCTGTGTACAGGAGAAAGTTTCACGTTCGATCGGTTCCGTTTATCGTCGGTTGAGATGGCGAGGGAATAATCGTGGGACCGTTATGTTTTCTCCGTTATGCGACGAAAAAAATATTGAGATGGGTCACTTGTGACCCATCGTAAGATTTCTTACTTCGTAGGTCAGAGAATCGAGGTTTCTCGTCTGATTTTTAGCCGAATACGTTATTGTACATTTCTTGTAGACTGTGTAAGGAAGGGTTGGGGAATTTAAGGCATTGGGTAGAAGATTGTAAGAATAGAAGGGATAGCGAGAGTAGTAAAAGGCGAAGGAATAATCGAAGAACCGTTATTCGCCGAATGAAAGATTGATATGGGTCATTTCTGACCCATCGTAAGATTTCTTTCTTCGTAAGTCAGAGAATCCAGGGTTTTCGTCTGATTTTTATCTAGATACGTTAAAATATATTTCTTGTAGACCGTGTAAGGAAGGGCTGGGGAATTTAAGGAATTGGGTAGAAGATTGTAAGAATAGAAGGGATAGCGAGAGCAATAAAAGGCGAAGGAATAATCCAAGAAGATTGAGATGGGTCATTTCTGACCCATCCTATGATTCTTTCTCTGTAAGTCAGAGAATCGAGGTTTCTCGTCAGATTTTTAGCCGAATACGTGAACATATACGTGTGACACACCAATTCCCATGATAAAACAATATTATCTACACGTAATACGTCATAACAAATGCACAGTTTGAGTATTTAATCAATATTAGGTGTGCACGAGTGCATGTGCCCATCGTATTACGTAAAAGTGAAAAAAATATAGATATGAAGAATGCAAGTCAAATTAATTCGAAGGATAGTGGACGATGATTCAACTGAACCGTGGTAGCTAACGTGTTAAACTACATTTCTTGTGCACTGTGTAAGGAAGGGTCGGGGAATTTAATGTATTGGATGGAAGATCGTAGGGCGATAGAGGATAGAGACGTAAGAACAGAAGGGATAGTGAGAGAGTAATAGAATGATTGAGGATTTTCGAGGGAAGGAAGGGGAAATGTGCAAGACAGGGGTAGAAGGGACAAAGCACAAATGTTATCCAAATTCGAGTTTCATGCAAATTCATATTTTTATGAATATAATTAAAAAAAATAAAATCTAGACATGCAATTATTTTATTTGCTAAATATTATATTACAACGGGTACTGTATTTTGGGTTTATCGTGCCTTCGAATTTTCCATAAATGCACAAAAATACGCAGTCTACTGATAAGTAGGCACAATTAAAATCGGGTATATGTAGTATAGATATAATTTAAATGGAAGGTGGAATGAGAATAGAGGATGGACGAATGGGAAATCTGGTAACAGGCAAAAATTAACAATAAAAAGAATAGGGATTATCTTAACCCCTTAACTTATGACAACGTGCCAGACTCGTGGCAGAGATTCTGGCGAAGATGTGAGAAAAATAGTTACATTGGTAAGAAAAATTCATTGTAATCCTAACTTTCGTTTTAATTTCTAAAATTAAGGATTTCTAAATGTAACGAAACTGTAACAGATTAGCTTTTGCCACCTGATACAGTACTAAAGCATTAAATGGCCGACACTTGTACGCATAGTCGGAAAAGAAATCATAGCTTAAGGGGTAAAATCTCTCTCGCTATTCTTTCAAACCTTTCACTGTTCAGCTAACCAAAATTTTCGCCTCACTCTGCACCTATCTAAATCCCCCAAATTTTCTACCCACGCGAGTAACACGGGTCACAAATGACCCATCTCCGCAAATCCTCATTTTCTTCGTTCAACCGGTCTCTGTTTCTCGGTTCCTTCGTTCCCCAGATATCTATGTAGATGTATGCAAAAAGGGGCGCGTATGTTTTCCCGCCTGGCTTCGTTAACCATTGAAATGGAATGCAAATACGACGGATGGTATTCCCGCGTTTACCTTGTTGCTTAGGAAATTTATCGTCGCGGTATCGATTAGAAACCGACCGACCAAGTCTCTCTCTCGAGGTTGATTCTGAAAAACACGTGCGTTGCATTATGCACGACAGTTGTTTTTTCACCGCGAGAGAGGATCTCGCGTGGATCGTCTTGATACGCTGATGGTTAGCTCTTGCTCGATCGATTAGCGGAATTGATCGCCGGTTCACTGGAGAGGAAAAAGAGGCGCGTAATCTGGATGAACGATCGTTTCGCGCTCGTATACGTCTCTCGGGCTGCACTGCAGATGAATGCAATGAAACGTGTTTGGAATACTAATTGCATGAAAGCCGTGGTAAACACGGTTGCCAGGTCAAACGGCGCATCTCTCCTAACACGTGAATCATACGGGGGAAACGAAAGAGGAAGAGTAGCCTACCACGAAATCGATACAAATTTTCCACCCCTTTACGACCACTTTGCACGCGTTCCTGCGTCACGCAGAGAAGAAGAAGAAGAAGAAAACACGATGGTCTCCGTGAATATTCAGGTTTCTTCGTTAGAAACACGTCGGAAGAGATGCGATGCACCATTGCCAAAGAGATGGTAACTACAGCGTCACGTTCTTTCTCTCAGCTGACACGTGGCCAAACCGTGTCCTCCCTTCCTCCGTTATTCCATTTCTCTTTCGTCATTTTTACCGTTTCTCGGACGAGAGACGAGCGAAGGAGAAACGGGGACAAAGGGAGAGAAAAGGTGGGGAGAGCGAAGCGGGATAAAACGAATTCGCGGAGTTTTTTTGAACTCGAGCCAAAGGTCCTCCTCGCTTAGCTTTGTCAATACCGGTCTACGAGAGACGAGGGAGAGAGAGAGAGACTTAATTAGGGGAGAAAAGCCTACGACGAGGCATACAGAATGGAGAACCTGTGCAATTAGAAACGTGCAGCTCCTCCAGTTTTTTGTTCGTCAGGGAGAGCTGCCGCAGGATATCGTCGCAGTCCGCTCGAACGTTTAAGCTGATCTTCCTCAGCATAGGCATCCTCTTCAGCTCCTTGATCACCTCGTCCGTACCTTGTTCGCTGTTCGTCACCTAAATATAGAAATAGAAAATCAATTATATATTCTTCTCTTAACTGGACTTTCTCTTTTAGCGAATTTCACGTCTACTCGTGGTGCTCGAGTGACGAAGCTGTATTTCATTGTATCGATCGTATCAACGAAGAGATACTACTTTGTCCAATTTGTCGCAGGTCAAATTTAGTCGTAGATACAGTCGAGTCTCTTTTTATGCGGTAAATACTCGAAAACTTTCTCTCCTGCGAGTTCTGGAAAATGTCACCGTTCTTTCCTTTCCTATGTCGTAGACTTACCAGTTTTTATTTAATAAGCTGTCTTATTTTTGCACTCTTACAATTTTTGGATTCGACGTGAACTGGGTTTCGTTCCGCACTTATAATACAATTTAGAAGCAACGGTCTAGCGTGGTTGCTTTTTGTGGAGAAACTGTTTTTCTACCCCCTTTTTGGAGCACTATTTATACGTAGGCTTTTGGGAGTTCCGGGTGGGAGAACTAGGAATGTACCTGTTGGGGAAACTCGGGCATTTGTAAGGACAATGGACAGGAACCGTTAGGATCGAGGCAGATTAGGTTAGTTTCGATGACAGATTAGGTATACGATATCTGTGTACCTCGTAAGTTCGCCATAGAAACGGATCGTAGGCGAGTCGGTTGAACAGTAAGGACACGTGGCCGACCACGCAGAGATCCTTGGCGGGGAGATAGGAGAGAATTTCGAAGATGATTTCAACGGGTAGCGAGGTGATACCGGTGCTCGGAAACGATATCGGATCGCACTTGTTACCGATCCTGGCACGCTTCCTAATGGGCTCTCGAGTAATTGCAGGCTCGTCCATTCTCGTTGCGTTTCCATTTCTGGCGTTGGTACACAAGCCTGATCTCACATTGTCTCTCGATACGCCGTCGTGGGAACGTAATATCTCCTCGCGCGATGATCCACCTTTCCGATTTATTAGCCAGCGGTTTTTTTTATTTCGAACAGGGTTACTTCATTGAGAGATCGTGTAAGAAGACTAGGAATTTTGACATCTGTCAAATTTATCCGTCGCTTTTGTTTTTCTTTTCTCTTTCTTTGATCTGTAGATATCGAACGATACCGCGAGCCACTGAGAAGTGACCGACTCTGTAAAATATAATTTCTTACATTTCTTTTATTTGGGAAAGATGAAGCACTATATTGGGTAATGGGTTTAATGAACAGCGTTCGCTGTAAATTTTCTTAAATGTGTTTTTATTTGTATGGCGCGGAAGGACGTCTTTACTCTTCGAATTTCGTAGTCGAAGTGAAAAGAAAGAAAAAACCGTAAGGAGTGTTTTTATTTGTATGGCGCGGAAGGACGTCTTTACTCTTCGAATTTCGTAGTCGAAGTGAAAGGAAAGAAAAAACCGTAAGGACACGACTGAAATTCTGTTGCGCATTTAAGGAAAGAGACCAAGTATTACGTTTCATATATATAACACAATTCATTTTTGCTTACTGGCTAACGCATTATTATTAGTAATAATCCAACACACTAAGTGCTTCGATAGTGAAACTGAGGGAATATCGAAAAGTGGAGTTAATCGTTTTGATTTACGACTGGCCGAACGTTTGGAAGCTAATGCTAATTTAGATCGATATTGAATTTGCTACTAATTCGTTTAAAATTGATGCTGTGGAGATTAGTAGCATTTTACCTCGTTTCGATCGACTCGAATGATAAGAAATTCTTTGTAACATTATTTTTATCAGTTTTATTAAATTTCTTGTATTTATGAAAATTGAAACACTGAAATTGGGAGAATATGAAAAAGTTAGGTTAATCAGTTTAACTTCTGACTGCCCGAAAGTTTCGAGTCACCTGGCAATTTGCATCCATATTGAATCTCCTACTAAACGGTTTAAAATTGACGATATGGAGATCAATAGCACTTTAAAAAATTATTACAAATGCCAACTATTTTATTTTGCAAATTTTTCTGCAACCTGCAACGCACAGCGATTCGAAACATATGGCCGCCGGTAGTGTGTGTGTAATGAGTCGAGAAATTTTTTAAGTACGATCTGTATATATTACAGCGCACGGTAGTGTATACGTGCTCTTTGATTCGCTCGGATAGAATGATTAAATAAAACAACGCCCTCGTTGTTATGCGTACCGCGGTGATCACGAAAATCACGATAGCGTGACTCATGCACCGACGATTCCGTCTGTCACCTGCTTTTCATTCCGGTTAATAGCGAGGGGTACCGTAACGACGCGATAAATTCTGCTTTTTCGGTAAGGACCCTCGGGTGTACGTGCGTGCCTCTAATGGCTACATGCCGTGCGTGCTTAATGCAAGGAACGGTCCAAAGAAATCGTCTCTGACGATAGCAAACTTTTTACGGCCCTGTTATTTTTCCCTCGCATCGCTGTTCCGTTCCGATCATAACAGAAAAACGCTCGAGAACGGAGGAGAATTCGAAAATAAAGATTGTTTACAGGAGGGTGTGGTTAACATTGAACGGCAGGAGAAAAGAAAAACATCGACAAAGAAAAGGGGAAAAAAAGACGTGCCGGTGAAAATTTCAAGGTTAACCCTACTTTTTTTTTCTCTCTCTCCCCTTTTTTACGAAACGTTACACTTTTTATCCGACGAGGTTACAACCGGTTTGAAAACGAGTTCAACGACTCGCAAACACGAGATCGTTCGAAGATTTAAAACGCGTAATAAAATGATTTTTCAACGTTCGTCTTGTGTCGTTGCATCTCGTACAATGAGCACACTCGAAGGCAAACAGACGGATAAAGAAGGGAACGTACAGAGGCGGTAGTTATTCGAAGAAACATCTTACACTAGTCGTTCAGTTGGTTAAATAAAGAACGCGGTTATAAAACGACCGTGTATATTTCATAGAGCGGAGGAAAGATCAATGAGATCGATCTGTCCCACTCGAACGTTTCATTTCCATGGGTACAGGGCCAATTGATGGTATTCCTCGATGCAGACGGTCCTCTCGAACACGTTTATTTCGTGGCGTAATCGCGCAACGGGTACAACAGTGCCTCTAGTGCTGTTGCACGCAACATGCCAAATAGCCGCGACGTCGAACCGTCTGGTTGTTTAATTTTCTTTTCGTAGCGCACCTTGATCCGATTACCTACATAAACTTAGCTAGCTCGCCTGGCAAGAGTCAAGGTGCAGAGAGCCACCAACGCGGTTATATTTGTTGCCCATTAACATTCCAGCGGCAGAAGAGCAAAGTGCATGGTAACACAGCCCCCGTGAATCGATCCTTCGTCTATAAGTAGGAAACTTACAACTGGAGGACGGGTGTAATAAGCGTGTTCTTTATCAAATGAACAGCCTTTTATTACACGCTGTCACATTAGGGCTTAACGTTTCGTTCGATGGCCATGGCTCTTTGAAAATAATACTCGCCGGATAAGGTAAATAAACTATTCATGGGCATATACCTCTATGTATGCATTTATGCGTTGATCGCCCTTTCGACTCGCAAGTTTATCCATTCTGTCGGCTTATTAAATGTCAGCGGACGGTAAAAGTTTGTCCGGCTGGTTTTCGCGCTCGTTCGCCACACCACAGTTATCGACGTTTCTGTCGATGCGTACGACCACATGTCCACGCTAAACAATGAGAGAAACACGATGCACGTGAAACGCTAATGTATCTCTTGTTAACGGTAACGCTATCTCTATTTACGTGTCGTTAACAAGACTGACGTTATCTACCGTGACGCGCTCGAGAAAGTTTCCTATTAAATTTTCTCGAGCGATAATGTCGTGTTACGGATTGACAGAGTTGATATTGAAAATTAAATAGATTGGCCGGGATGATTTATCTCGAAGAAAATGTATAATTTTTTTTAAAGGGTTTCTTTTTTGTTTTGTTTGAAATTACAGATAGATCATGCTGTCTCAAATGAAGACCACCTCTACGGGGAAACTGGAAGGGAAACGACCGAAAGAGCTGATGTCGTCTTCCAGTCTTTCCGGTATGTCTCAATTATCGAACAGCAGCGAGGAGACCCTGGAGCCCCTTGTACATAAGCCGCACAAATCGGAAACGTCGGAAAGGTAAATCGGGTTGAAAGTTCAAACATTTGTTCTATTATGAGAGTTATATAAATTCTCTGGAGGATGTGACGTGCATCCTGATTAAACACCCTTACCTGAGCACGTTCTATTTTGCTATTCTATTTTTGGAACGCTTCGAATAGAGTGTATATTTCGGAGGATTAAAGAAGGGTAAATAGTGATAAAAAGAGACGTGCAATATTTTGTGATAAATGAAATTGAAGTATGAAAAATTGAAACTACAAGGAAACGAATGCGTGCTTTCTTTTTTACCGACATCTGATAAGCTCGATGGCGCTAGATCTCAGGGACAAATTTTTTACGGAAATATTTCCTAGAGGTCGCGTCCTTCATTTGAAATATTTTAATTGTCCCGCTAAATTTCTCGCGCTAAACAGAATATATTTGTTAAATTGCAATCGTACGACGTGGCTTGTTTAATATATTTTGCAGCACAACGAAGGACGCCAGTCCGCCAAACAACGAATGGCTGTTAAGTGGACCAAGTGGAAACAAATCTATTTTGCGTTTCAAGTGAGTGAAAGATTTTCCTCTGTATCTGCATGCTTCACGTACGACGTGTAACGTTTGTCGCAAGATATATAATCTCTTGGCATTTTTCCTACTATTTTTCAGATGCTCCGCATTAGCGACTCCTCCGGAAGAATCACCCGCGAAAAAATTGCATATGACCTACAAAATTTTTCAGACAGACACCAAGCTTATCAATGTCTTATTGCAATCGCACGGCTTAACGGAGGTAAGTTCATAAAAAATCAAATGCATTTTTAAGTTTTTATTGTAATTCGGTACGAATATGTACTAAGTTCGAAATATACCTGGTCATTCGATATAATATAAATCTATTTTTTGTTTTTACTTTTTAAGTACTTATTAATATACAATTTGAAGATCGTGGTACAACTTATATT